AAGGAGGACTTGATCGGGTAGAGGGCATAGGAATTGCCTTTTCTTCAGCAGGCACTTGACCCCGGCATAAAAGTGCGCGGTCAGGGTCAAGAGGTGGACCACACATATAAGGCATATATATATATATATATGACGTCGCGGCATCTCTCTCATGCATCTCTCATTTCTCAATATATTATCACCTGGACTGCACTTGTGGAGCAACGTGAATGGACAAATGCGACTACAAATGAATGAGCCAGAGAAGAGGAAGCATAAGTTTGGCTACTAAGACAGACAGGCGGAAGTTCACCACCAAAGCGACATTCCAAGTTCAATGCCAGCGGGAAATGTAGAAAACAAGTCAATGCAAGGCAGAAAACAAAAGAACATGATCCGGCGAAGATGAACCCCAAACGGTGCCTCAACAAAACAATTATGTTTGCCATCAGAACCCAGTGGACCACAACTGGGTTGTAGAGGAAAATGGTTGTCCACAGCGTAATTTTCAGGGTTTGCGAGGGGATAGGGTGAGTTGTATTGTCCCTCTGGGTGAATCCTTCTTACTTTGTTTCCCAGCCCCTGGACAGCAAATCTTAAGGTTCCAGGACGATTTGTTTCTCGGATGTCCTTTATCCCCAACGACCATTCTCAGGAAGTACTTTCACCGTGCTGGTTGCCTTAAAAGTACTGTATATAATATATTGTGTACTATAATTGTTATGTGGAAGAATTAAAATGGAATCTATACTGTCTATACTGTCATGTCCTGTCATTGATATTTTGGGGGTAGTGTATCCGTAACTTTTGAAGACTAGAGAGTTATGGACCAGATGAAAACCGTATAAGGTTCTGAGATTGGATTCAGTGGTGCACTTGTGTTTTCTTATTCAGTATTGGTATTGGTGACATCTTGTGAAACTATGTGAACATTATTCCATCGAACCCTGACATGCTGGAATACTTGTTGCAAACAATGTGGAGGGGGTGCTGAATCATATGGAATATATGTTGAGGTGTGTTCACCTGGGGAGTCCTTCTTAGGCCCCCTTCGTATCTTTCAATTCAGCGGTTCGTTGAACCAATCCATGACTTTCCTCTACGAACCGGTGGTTTTTCTACCTAAACATCTAAGTCATTGATCTATTCGACATGGGGAGTCCTTTACGAACAGGTCATATCTCGGAACAGGAACCGGTGTTTCGTTTCGTTTCCGTCGGCGAGTTGGTCGACCGAGCGGGCGACCCGCTCCCTACCGAGCAGGCTCCGTGTCGGTGTCCAGCGCGGCGGTGGAACTCATGATGTCCAGGCGCTGTTGAAGAGGGGCGAAGAGGGGCGAAGAGGGGCGAAGAGGGGGCTAGGCTTACCCGAGGTGTTGAAAGCAGCCTGCTTTGGCCCTTCTATGCCCTGCTCAAGCTCTCTATAAGTGCTTTGCTATGCTTTCCTGGCCCATCCTATATGTTCCACAAATGTTGGGGGTTCCAATTATCTGGTTGAAGGTCTCTCAAGCTCTCTGGGATGTTTCGCGAACCCTAGCATTCCTGGCCCACTGATTCAAGGACTCCCGCACCAGAACCTGGTTCTACAATTTCCGAAGTCGGTCGGGTCGCGAGTTTCGCGAAGAAACCGGCGACCGGGCTGGACTGCTTGGACTGTTGAATCGTGGGATTCCTGTGAGACATCCTGAGAGACACAGGATTTCAGGAGTCTACTCATCAAGTGGGCCGTTTTTTTGTTAGACTGCTAGACCATGTCGTCCAATCTTGTCCATGTGTGTTTCCTTGTTGATCTGTTTGCCTTGGAGATGATATGCAGTAGAAAGGAGTCTGGAGTCAAACGGATTACACCGGGCATTCTCAAGTGATAGGAACTGTTGTAAGATGTTATAAGCTAATGCATGGTGAGTGTAGTGTAGCATCTTCAATTGTGTTTTGTACAAAGCTTTGGCAACAGAAGCAGCACTTTCAGGTGAGGTCGGACCCTACGACTCTTTCATGACGTACTAATGGACTTCGAGACAAACCTGGATTAGACTGCTAAGGTTATATTAGCTGGATTCTGGTCATTTCGAAAAAGTACACCACAACCACTTGAACTTCTTGCTTTGCCTAGTGTAAGTCCATCCCAACAACTTGTTAGACTCTTTCTATGTCGAGGTGGTTAGAAAGGGTGGAGAAGGTAAGGGTTGAGATCACCTTCTCGTACGAACTGATTCTACAATTCCGAGTTTAGTGTGGCGATGGCAGGCATGGACGGAGAGGTTTCTTCTTCAAACTTGTGCATCCCCCTCCGATTCAAAACCCATGTGGTGGTTTATACATGTTTGACTACAGTCTTCGGATTTTTTTGATTAACGCGTTTGATGGTTGATCCAAAACTCGGCTTAGAATCACTCTCGCCTTGGAGCTCCCGGTCATTTCCGCGTGAGACGTGAGACGTGTTCCAAACCACCCTGCCCAGGGCAATGCAGGACTTGCGCAAGCCGGCCAGCAAGTTGAACGCTGCTGGCACGCACACAGAACATGATAAACATGATGCTGAATGTGTGTGTGTGTTTCCTGAGTCCTGCTATTTCCCGGTTTCACAGTCCGACGTGTTTGCAGCTTCGTCAGTGAAACGAATCTGATCAGCAAACCTCATTTAAGGGAGTACAATAGGCTGCTGCTCAAGTTGTTTGCGGTCAGCACGGATGCAGTGACACGATGACGATGCAGTGACGTGTTTGTAAGTAAGGCTTCGGTCATGAGACCGGTTCATGAATCAAAGTGAGACATGCTTTCCAAGAGACCCATATATGTGCCCGTTGAGGTTCGGTGATGATGTTTTTGCTTTGGAGAGTCAGTTCCTACCTTTAAAGGATAATTCAGAAATACAGCAGGTGGGTGTTCTGAAAGCGATTTGGTTGCAGTTTCGGAGCCCTTCGAGTCCAGTACCGGAGTATGTGGGTTGTCACTTTGTGTGGTTGTTTCCATGTGCTGATCTTGCTGTTGATCAATTCGCCTTGGTCCGTACGATATCAGTCAAGCTTCTCATTGTCTTGCCTGATAAGCAACAAGACCAAGGGAATTGGAGTTTCTGCATCCCTTACGAGCAGAAGCGAAGAACTGCATCCACCTCGTTTCGACCTCACATCGTTGAAGATCACAAGATCCATTTGGTGCGTCACATACACGTTACCTGGTGATTAGGAATGGTAAGTTGCCATTCTACAATTACATAACCTAGTTATTACAGTATAGTTACAGTAATATTATTGTTATATATTATATATATACTGACATGTTCCTCTTGTGACCGGGATTCTTTCCGACTGTAAAAGCCCAAACGCAACCCAAACCCGGTGTGCCGCATGTCCTCGAAAAAAAAAAAAGAGCATCTTCACTTCGCTTCTGCAGCTTCTTGGCACCAGGTTTGCATCATCGGTGCCGGTAAGATGTCCAGGCAGCTGACCGAGGAAGCGATCAGGGCGCCCCTGATCCGGGGGCCTTGGCGTGTTTTCAGTGGGCCTCTGCAAGCCTTGGAGATTGGTCTCCCAACTTTGCAGGAACACAAAGGGGGATGGGAGTCAGGCCTTTTTGGGCTTCGAAAGTTCACTCGTCACTTCTGAGGTTGGGTGGTTGGACAGGATATCTCTCATTAGATCATGCGTCGGGTCAGTTGCTTTTGAGCGAGGATGAGCTGTGAATCTATCATGATATAGTACTGAGTACTGTAATAATGACATATAATATAATATAACAATATGTAACACAATATCAATTATTAATAGGTCTATGTTCACAAACGAGCCCTGTTCAAATTTGGGAATCCCCAACATGAACTGACGAAGAGATTCACCACTTGTTCCTGGATTTGGAGGGGATTTGCTTGTTGGACACATGTTAGACCAGTAGCTTCGGGACTCCTGTGTTGAGGGGCTGGACATCCTCACACCGGAAAACACATCCAGGCCACTCACGATGCTGTAATGGAACGACCCAAAACAACAACGTCGAAGATACTGAATTACACTGACCACCACACCAAAAGCACGATGCGGTTGCTAGCAACACCTGGCCAGAACGGAGGCACACCTGGCCGGAAAGGAACCACGAGCCCTGGCCTTTT